CTCGACCTTGAGTATGCGGACGATATTGTCTTACTGTGCGATAATGCCCAAGGCATGCAATCCGCACTTAATCAGTTGGCAATCAGTGTCCGTAGGTATGGTATGTGCTTTGCACCTTCGAAGTGCAAAGTACTCCTACAAGACTGGCAGGATCCCAATACTGTACTCACCCTGGATGGTGAGCAGATAGACGAGAAGTTCGTGTATCTGGGTAGCTGCATAAGTGTTGGTGGGGGTGTGAGTGATGAGATTAATGCACGTATAGAGAAAGCCAGAGCGGCTTATGCCAATCTGGGCCATCTTTGGCGCCTTCGTGATGTTAGTCTTGCTGTAAAAGATCGGATTTACAACGCGTCGGTGAGAGCAGTTCTGCTCTATGCTTGTGAAACCTGGTCTCTCCGAGTTGAGGACGTTAGACGACTCTCTGTGTTCGATCATCGCTGACATTCAGTGGCAACACTATGTCAGTAATGCAGAGGTTCGGCATCGTGTGCTCGGGCACAGAGATGATAATTCAATTGGTGTCACTATCTTGAAACACCGACTTCGGTGGCTTGGACATGTTCTACGAATGTCGTCCCAGAGAATTCCACGTCGTGCATTATTTGCCAACTCTGTGACTGGTTGGAAAAAGCGGAGAGGTGGTCAGTGCATGACATGGTGTCGTGGTATAAAAGAAAGCTGCAAAGGACTGGCTTCTGTCTGTCCTTCACGACTCCTTGGTTGGGGTCTGAGAGATGGTGCTACACAGTGACTAGAGACGTTATCAGATATGGCTCAGAATAGAAGCCAGTGGCGATCCTGCTGTAACCTTCTTTTACTTTCTTCATAAAAATTGGTTGTGTCTCCCTTACCTGAAAGATTTCTTCTGATTGTACCTTTCCGTTCCCTCGTTACTACCACACTACCTTACACCAATCTCTTCGTTATTGTTCTCTTTTTCTTTTGCGCTGCTTAGTTTTTTCTGTCTCTTCGAATTCTCGTTGTTTTGTGTGGCGCATATATATTGGCGCTCTCTTGTACCAATATTCATGTGTTCAAATAAATAAATAAATGTGATACATGGATTTTGACCAGTCATACAGATAAATACCCTAAAATTCATTGATAGGACAAACAGCAGAGTCATCAGAGTACATATATGTATTGGAGTATACTATCCTGAGGCACATAGAATAACAAACTGTATAGCATTTACCAAAAGGCTTCATGGATTATGATTCAACCTACTTATCCGTAAACAGAATGGAAACAAACGATATAGATCACAACTGGTTGCTAAATTAGAGCCAAATCATCAAGTCTCATGTTCAAACATAATACTTCGTTGGCGGGTGAAGCTGTATAAGCTATTTGTAGAGTATTTATCTCGACTTCATAACTGACTAAATATTATACCCAACATACCGAATAATACTTCAAGCAGCTAAGAAGTATGAATTGAATGATTTCCAGAAAATTCCACTTTGTTCTAGTAAAACTACTTAACGTATGTGCTTTGCATGATTACTTGCTTAAACGAAAACATATCACTCAGGGTAGCTTTTTTATGAAAAGGTTGAACAAACACATAACACCCAAAACCACTTGCACTAGAATCTGGGAGGAAGCATTCAACAATGTAATATATTACTTAATCCAGGACTATTAGTCGGCTAGTAAGTTGTGTTTTACCCCCCAGGGCTTACGTAGTATCAATATATTTTTGCTTGATTCCATATACACTAAAAAGGGAGCAACAGTTTAAGTTCTTACAAAGCTATATAACTTGTAGCAACTATAAAAGTTCTTGAAGAACGCTTAAATGAGTTTCATAAAAATCACTACTAATGTTCGGATACTGTTATTCATATACAAAGCAAGATTGCAGAGGAACATGCATTAGTCTAAGTTGTCACAGAGAAAAAAACGAACAAGATGAAGAACGGGAGTGGAGACCACAATATCAATAACAATGAAGAACTACATATTAGGAATAGATCTTAACACAAACGGGTTGGACCAGAGAATGAACAGTATGGGATATCGCCAAGTTAAAGATCTAGAGGAAGATGAGTAAGTTCGACTTAAAACATCTAATATTACGTTTAATTCTCGGAAACGAGTCAAGATTTTGGAAGTTTAAAACAGAGCTTAGACTACTAGTCGTCAACTGAAGTCTCTTTTTAACTGACATCTGTGTTAGTTAACGTATCACATAGAAGGTTGAGTGACATAATTGCTAATTATCGTAACTGGTGTTACAAATCGATTCCAGTCATCATTAAAGCAGAGCGTCGCACAGGTGTGTACTGGAGCAAATTGAAGTAGCACGGAAGGGAATTAACGAGCTAATCAACAACCGATCAAAGCAATGCAGGGGGGAAAGAGGAAAAAACAGAATAGAATCCAAGAAGACTAAATGGAAAGCTAAAATAGGAACTGGGGTCCGAAATCCAGAACGTATCTGTGCTACATTAGTCAACTTGTCAACCTAATCACACTGCACTCCACCCTACACAATTAGTCATTCAGCAGTTCCATTACACACGGCCGATCTATCAAAGACCTATTTATCCAAATGTTAAGAACCCTCACATCTACTCTCGAAATTAAGAGGTAATAATAAAGTGCTGTGGAGTACATTTAGAATTTGATGAGTAGCCGGATATCGTGTTCTGATCACAAGTGTTCGACATTAGCAAACATTAATCAAGTTTCTGGGTCGTTATTAAGATTCCGTTGTTGATGAAAGTACCAGAAGCGATGAGACTCTTTAAAAGAATGAGCATCACACTTGACTAATTCACTCTCCCTGTCCAGAAAAAGTAGTAACGAATATGTCTTGAAACGTCCACTTAGAGACTCGAACTTAACCAGTTTTGCCGAAGAGTTCAGGATGCTATGCGATCTATTACAATACCCAAGAAGTCACATACGTAATGCCAATCTGCGGAAAGACAGATAGTGAGAGGGAAGTATTGGCTTAGTGATAAGGGCAGTTATTTCCCAATTGGCAGACCGCACATTCGAATCTGGGTTAGGTTTGAGTATTACCTCTCTGACCTGTTCTGCAATCCTATAAGTTAGCATCCAGTCAAAAGTCGAGTTTAGCAATGTGGCTCGTAATTCATTGATGTGGGAAAAACTGATCGTACAAGCCACGATGCGTAACCAAGTTGGGCTTTTCGTTGCTTGTACCTCCACTCGAAACTTGTGATATCACTTTACGGTGCGCACGGTTAGAGAACTTTCCTTTACAAACTGATTTCCCAAATCGCAGAGCAGGTCCGAAGTGTAACACCCAAATCCCAGCCAGACACATATGACACCCTGAAGAATCGTTCTAGGAGCGATATTAACATCCTGTTCAGTCTAGAAGTAATTCGAGCCATTTCATTAATATTCCCAAATGGATATTCTCAGACATCACCACTAACACACTTCTGACGATGTCATCACCGGTATTTACCTTCATGAGCTGTAAAATCGGACCACCTATGGCGACTTTGTTGTTACTGTCAACCAGGGAGTTTACACCCAGGTTGTTTCCCGAACTCACCAAGATGTATCTGTATAATTTTTTACTAGCTTATCACAATAACAGGTCACTAACTGAAGTTCATTGGAGCATCCGTTTAATGGCGACCACGTAACGCTACCATAGGGTGGGTGCTAACTAAATGTTTCCCTAAGTGAGAATTTATGGGACTTATCAAGGATGTGTGAAGTTACATCCACCGTCTTAGACGAGCGACTACACAGTCATTACTATTCCCAGGTACCTGATTGAAGTAAACCCAAGTTTGGTACCCAAAGACATAAGAAATGAATTACCAAGCGGATGTCAGACCAAAGCATCCCTTCATCCCTAACGCATGTAGCCGCTAAGCACAAGAGATTACGTTATGGTCAACTGTCTATTGTAATAGTGCCAACAGTCACGTCCGAACACTCAGTTAACCGTACTACGACAAGTGACCAAATCTTGCTCGGCAACTTCGTTTAGGGGCCTGCGTTATGAGTAAGGTCAACAAACTTTCCCCGACTTGCGCGCTTGCTCTAAGCTAATTCTATAGATTAAGACACAACAATGATCGTTTTCAAGCACAATGGCATTACTGCAAATAAGTTCGGAATAGGCAGCCAAGGGGATATTTTTTCCCATGAATTAGTTAAACTCGGCTGACCAGCATTTCAGTCCCGAAGACGAGCCCACAGATGGTGCAACAATACAGCCTCAGAAACTCAAACGTGACAGCTCAACTTACTATGACAAGTAGAAACTACTACAAACTATCAACCATACAGAGGTCAAGGTCTTTGAGGAGAATAAATTACGATGCTTACGCCCCATCAAATTAAGTCGATACAATGGGATCTTCAAATCTGCGACCAGAGGGTTGGTCGAGCTCAGTTTTAATGTGAAAATGGAGTGACCACGACACTAGCCCTGGACGATGGAAAACTAACCATCTGGAGCAACAGTACCGCCCGAGCACAAACGCACAACTAGGCTAATCGACGTAAAAAAACACATTCACAATAACTGCCTACTCGACTATTAAACAAAGCTGCTCGGCGGAACACACATTTTATGAAGTAGCCCCTAAGAACACCGAATATCAGTAATGCACAATGAACACAAGAGCCAATGTTATGCGACGAACTCATCTTTTTTAAATATAAACGAAAACTAGGCCTACTGACGAGTACATCACGCATAGAACTGAATCCTCTGAACTAGAGGTCATAGGTCGATGTGGATCCTATGCATGTAGAAAGTTTCAACACAGCAGCTAATAAGCCGATATAAAGTTCAAGGCATTGTCTGACATACTAAGCTAGCCCACCACTAACCATAAAAGAACACATGATGCTAAGTAATTAAGTTTTAAGAACAATATTATAAATACAAGATACAACGACAATAGTAAGCAAATGAAAAGTAACAGTATATACATCAAAATATTGGCCCTTAACAGGGCAGTGGTGTTCAACCAAGAATTCACATGTCGAATTTAACCACCAAAACCGTACAATGTACGACCCTGGCGTTTCAAAGCATACACTACGTCCATGGCGGTTACAGTCTTCCGCTTGGCATGCTCCGTGTATGTGACAGCGTCACGAATAACATTTTCCAGAAATACTTTCAACACACCACGAGTTTCCTCGTAGATCAAACCAGAAATGCGTTTTACACCTCCACGGCGAGCAAGACGACGAATAGCAGGTTTCGTAATACCTTGGATGTTATCACGTAGCACCTTCCTATGTCGTTTGGCTCCTCCCTTACCAAGACCTTTACCACCTTTGCCCCTACCAGACATGACTCACCTGACGACAAACCAATGACCTACACAGGTTAGCGATCAAACGAGCGTATTAAGCAAAATCCCTTAGAAAAGAAAGCCATTTATAAGCCAATAATATTAATACAAATGACCGATTTAAACAAATTTCAAATTAGAACGTCCATAAAATAGAAATTTGGTCCTGTCATTTCTGACTCATTATTTAACCATATCTTTGATTTAGTCTGATATTTCTGAAGGTCCAACAAAATGTTTTGTTATTTTTTACTTTCTTAAATCCAACAATGATCTACGTCACTTTCTACGTCAAATTTCTTCAAGTCATTAGGAAAATCAGTTATGTATTTGTTTCTTGAAACAAACAACATTAATTTTTCGCCCTTTTGGTCTATTCAAATCATATATATGTGTCTGACTATAGGGAAGCATAGAAATGTGATATACTACTGAGAATGCCAAATAATCATTAAACGCTGCGATAATTATATGTGCATAAAGTTAAGCCATGCTATAATAATAAGTTGACAGCGTGACTAAGTACATATGAGAACGTAAAGTAACTTCTATCAGGTTTAAGTAACTTATTAGTTTTAACTGCTTGGATTCAATGGCTTCAACTCTAAACGTTGCTGATTATCACTCATAAATTTCAACGATTTACTAACAGCGTAATATATATATATATATATATATATATATATATATATATATATATATATATATATATATATATATATATTGTTCGCACCACTTCATCTTCAAATTTTCAACATTATCAAAAGCTGTCAAAAGTATGTGTGTTCTTGCTGGTCCTCATTGGAGAGCTGAATGAGTTTTCTAGAATATATGCAAATGCTTTCCCTCCGATCAAATGGTATGATGTCTTATCATCGAATTCCAAGTTTGATTTTCCATTATGGTCATTCGATTTACATTCGATTTACATTCGATTTGTCATATATTTAACTGGGAATATAATTTGTGACAGTCTACAGAGTTATACTTAGTGAAAGAGTCAACCAATGGTGTACCGGGTTTCTAAAAAGCTTTTATATGCCTCCTCAGCTTAGGTGGCATCCTATCTTTAAATTCTACATTACTAAGGAGTTAGTACATTGCTTGTTGGTCAGACAGAGCTGCCACTTCGATTCTTGTTTACTTTAAAGTAATGTAACGTGTTTTCGAATCAGACTTTGACAACCTGTATTAATACTTTATCTGGTGAAATAGAGCTATTATATCTAAATTTAGTATTATCAGGAATGACGTGATATATGTAACTGTAAGGTTAGTAGCTCCAATGAATCAAATATCAAATGACTTAAGGATGTAGATATTTTAAGACATATGGAAGAGATGCACAGAATACAAGAATTTAATAGGAGTTAAATAACTTGGTACAATTGAGACCCAAACTATTAATGCTGAATTTTTGCAACCTACCAAAATGCTAAGAATTCTATGTCCACATTTTAATATTTTCGATTATCTTAAAAATATAAATAATCTCTAAGTGTAACAACAGGCCAAAAATAATCCATAGTTTGTATGTGACAATAACTTCAAAATATTGAGTAGCACAACCGTTGTGATTAAATGATTTGGCCTCAAAAACTTATTAATTTGAAATTTATTCAAAATAATTGAAACCTCGTACATTTCCATCTCACTTTTCGTCACTTAGTATTGAATGAGGGAACTAATGAATATGTCAAGAGATAATATGAGGAGGGAACCAAACTCGTTTGTAAGCTGTTATTCAAAATACAAATCGACATTCTGCTGTGGCAAATAAATGTGAAAACTAGGGTTATAATTCTTTGGTTTATGGAATCTTAAGTACACCACTCACGTTCCCTTGAAAACCATTTTTACGTGTGCCAGTAAACTTGTTTACCTCCACTTCTGTTATCTGAGACATCCTCAATAGTCATCAGAAGTTAGGCACTTCAGCTGTCTCTTCATTTTATATCCAGTCGTCTTCCCCAATATTTTGCTAGAATCGTGTAGCCAGACGACTTCCCTAAGATCATTGAATCAACAACCATTTGAACAGTAATCTTGTGATCAACAAGTATATATCCGATGTATTCATCAATATTGCAGGTTAATGGTCGTCCAGGCCTGTCAAAATGCTTACAGTTTTCATCCTCTTTTATTTACACTCCTGATTTACCTGAAAAGAGCTATCTTCTTTCATGTATTATCTTCAGTAAATAGCCTTTGTAGGTCACCAACGTAGATGATCTATATCGAATGATTGGAGGTCTACTCGAGTTAAACGAGAGTGGTATGGCAAACCAGCTAACTTTGAAGTCACACCTCGCGGTCAGCATGTAACGTGGATCACCCCTTCCACATATTAAAGTACCATAGCTGTTTTTAAGACCGTATATCACAAAGGACGTTATTATGAAAATGTATTAGTAAGAATGAGTACAGAAAAGATAGCGAGACCACCACCGCATGGGCCAGTCCATGGCAAACGATTAACTGATGCGCATTGGTTGTCCTTGATCTTGACGAGGATCGATGATTTGTTCAATATTCAGTGACTTAACTGCTAGATGATTTGGCTAGGGCTCAGTGACATTTCACTGGTCCTACACTCTCAATGTTTCATGGAATCATTAAGAATTTCTCCAAGTCTCATCGACATAATGACAATAAAGTGTTATTCTAATCCTCTGATAAATATTAGACAAGCCATATTCCCTCTTTATAAAGTTTCTGTTGAAAACGTCTAATATATATAATATAAGCTTAATGATTTATTGACAGTATGTTGTGGTCTATTGTAAGTTATATCATACATAACTACTTCATTTATTTTCTATGCTAGAAAATCAAGAATATATGGAACAATATAAAATAACAATATACCTAAACTTATGTCTTAAAAAACTGATTATATGGTGTTCGTTATAAATGGGATTTGTGTTATATTCACATCACTTATTTTTTTTTTATACTTCAAATGAGGAACCACTACAATTTCTTATAACACAAAGTAAGAACACAACAGACTGATACAAGTAAAGATTTGTTGACCCTTAAAATCAACATAATGACCCCTTTAATCGGAAATATACTCATTTCTCATATTGATTTGTATATATATGAAATTATAGTAAAATCGTATGCTACATGTCATGTTAAGTATAGTTCAAGTCCATGTAACACATGAATATCATATCATGAATAAACACCATATTAAAGTAAATCAATACTGGATACTAAGTAATTATCATAATGAATTGAAAACGTAAGTAATTTGGGATAAAACTTAAAATAAGTTGAAAATGTAACTTTTGACCTTTTTATCCCGTTATATCAATTTGTCATTGATATAGTTTAGGTCAGTCTGTTTATATGCACTAAAAATAGAATATTTCTTATAGAAAGTACAGTGTTTATCCATGTGGAGATGTTGTTCTTCATATTTTTTGCCTTCTAATTAAGATCACTAACTCCGCCTGTAGGTCTTATAGGGTTACTGCCGGTCCCATGCCCGGGTAAAGAAGGAGGGTTGGGCATGGGGTTAGCGTCCCCATCCCGTAGAAAACTAACTCGCTAAAAAAACGCTTACTAGAAAAAATAATCCAAACCATTTAGACTCTGCCATGGGAGTTAGAAGGTCTTCATTTGGAAGAATTATGACGCTTCATGGTGAAAGCCGAGTTCCTTCGGAAGCCACGAAGCCGATGCCCCTTCTAACAACCAGAGCAAAAAATCTTATAGGTACATGGAACGTTCGAACAATGTGGGAAACCGGGAAGACCAGTCAAATAGCAATGGAAATGAGGAGATACAACTTAGCAGTACTTGGGAATCAGCGAAACCCACTGGATCCAAGCTGGACAGAAAAGGCTAGCTACGGGAGAGATGCTGCTATACTTCGGTCACGAAGAGGACAATGCTCCACATACTCAAGGAGTCACTCTTATGCTGTCCAAAGTAACACGAAATGCACTTGTAGGATGGGAATCTCACGGATCCAGAATCATCAAAGCATCATTCAAAACAAAGAAGGAGGGGATCTTAATGAATATTATCCAATGTTATGCACCCACAAATGATAGCAACGACGACATTAAAGATCAGTTCTACGGGCGGCTGCAGTCAGTCATTGAGAAATACCCAAGGAAGGACCTAACTATTCTGACGGGAGATCTAAACGCCAAAGTTGGAATAGACAACACCAGATATGAAGATATCATGGGACGACATGGACTGGCTGGGAGAGAGAAACGAAAATGGGTAGAGATTTGCAAATCTATGTGTATTCAATCGATTGGTTATACGTGGCACAATATCTCTACACAAACACATATACAAAGCCATATAGGCCTAACCGGACCACACCACGGACAACCAGATAGATCATAATTGTATCAATAAAAAGTTCAGAAGGTCAATGGAAAATGTGAGAACCAGGAGAGAAGCTGACATAGCTTCAGATCACCACCTAGTTGTGGCCAATTTAAAACTGAAGCTAAAGAAGAACTGGATAACTGGAATAACAGCATTACAAAGGTTTAATACAGCCTTCCTTCGAGATACTGACAAACTCAATGAATTAAAGATAGCTCTCAACAACAGGTTCCAAGCCTTACAAGATCTACGGAAGGAAGAAGAAACTAGTATGGAGGACAACTGGAAAGGCATCAAGGATGCATTAACTTCAACGTGTCAAGAGGTTCTCGGTTTAAAGAAATACGATCATAAGGAATTGATCTCTACAGAAACACTGGACAAGATCAAAGAAAGGAAGAACAAGAAGGCAGCAATAAACAACAGCCGAACACGAGCAGAGAAAGTCCAAGCACAAGCTGAATACATAGAAGCAAACAAACAAGTGAAGAGGAGCATTAGAGCCGACAAGAAGAAATACGTGGACGAACTAGTAACGACGGCAGAAAAAGCTGCTAGAGAAGGAAATATGAAACAGCTTCACGATACAACGAAGAAACTAGCAGGGAAATACAGTAAACCAGAGAGACCGGTCAAAGACA